GTCATCATGACACGCATGGTGTTCTTTTTTTATATATTATAATGAAGCGCGAGCACAAGTCTTCCTGCCTGTCAGCTCTGCTCATGGATGTATAATAAGGCTCTGCTGCTCCGGGATGAGGGTCTAGCTTCAGCAGCTACATTACCTACGGTGCGTTCGTTAATATTAACTGTGCGGTCCAGAGTCACTGTGGCACAGACTGGACCGCTGGTTAGAACGGGGTGTTCGGAGCAGCAGAGCGTGATGTGCACTGAAAAGTGTTTCTGTCGCAATATTATTTAATTAATCGTTGAGCTAGCTAACTAGCATACATTGTCACTATCTGCTAACGTTAGCTTTAGCCTTCGTTTTCAAATAGTTTCTTTCATAGCCTATAAACGGAGGTGGTATAAGTATCTTGTACTTGAGTAAAAGTAGAAGTACTCAGATCTTGTTCTTGAGTAAAAGTTGAAGTATTCAGGTCTTGTACTTGAGTACAAGTAGAAGTACTCAGATCTTGTTCTTGAGTAAAAGTAGAAGTACTCAGATCTTGTACTTGGGTCAAAGTAGAAGTACCAGAGTGTAGGAATACTCTGTTACAGTAAAAGTCCTGCATTCAAAATGTTCCTCAAGTAAAAGTAGAAAAGTATTATCATCAAAATATAGTTAAAGTAGCAACAGCAAAAGTAGTCATTGTGCAGATTGGTCCATTTCAGAATAATATATATGATATGTTTTATAATGATTGATCATGAAAGTGTTCTCAAAGCTGGTAAAGGTGCAGCTAGTTTGAATGACTTTGTATACTGCAGGGTAGCTTGTGAATTTACTCCAGGTGGAACTAAAGTCTGATTTAACACTTGATTATATTTCACATCATTCATCCACATCTGTGAAGTAACTAAAGGTATTCAATACATGTAGTAGAGTAAAAGTACACCATTTACCTCTGAACTGTAGAGGAGAAGAAGAACAAAGTAGCAAAACATTGAAATACTTAAATAAAGTACAAGTATCTAAAAATTGTACCCAAGTATAGTACTTGAGTTTATGAACTTAGTTACTTTACACCACTGGCTATAAAGATAGAAAGACAGCCTTGCACAGAGGCATGAAAATACATTTTCAAAATGCTCAACAGTCCTGCCAAAATTATAAACTGACTGCTACACAATTAAAATAAATGCTTAAATATATTTCTATTAGATGTGACTCTTTGGCGTTTCTGTTATTATTAACTGCTGCTTTAGTTGTTCTGACTGCTAAAATCCTCTGTTATTCCTCATTTTAAAGCCGATATTCCGTGGGGTCGGGGGGCTCGGATCCTTGTCACCTTTTTCATACCTGATGAGTTTGCATCCCTGTATATACTATCACGTTTAATCGTGTTTTATGCCGTTTGCCAAGACTTGATAAGTCGCTCGTAAAACACAGGAGGTATGGAAACTAAGAACACCATATGTGGTAAATTGTACAGCTAATATAACACAACACATTAGTTGTATTTCCTTTAACTGGTGGATTATGGATATATAGTTGCTGATCGACAGCTGGAACACAAACCACCAAATACAACAAAAATAATTCAGATCCAGTCGTCATGACTCCACTCCGGAGGGATTCCCCGATCATTTCTTACAGTTTCTCATCAAGGGGGTGTCTCCTGTCACCGGGACAAACACACTGCCTGAGGAAGTTTTTTTGTCATTAACTTTTTCCGGACCACTTATTTATTTATTTTGGTGACGATCCGACCTCCATGCTGCTACTCTGGTTCAAACTGCATCCACCAAACAATATGATTTATCTCGACCTCCCCACAATAACCAAAATCTGACGCGGTGTGAGATGTCTTTTTTAGCTGTTCTATCGTCATTTCCTGCGATCTTCTTCATGCAGTCAGTCAAAATGAATGAATGAATGGGCGTTTCTTTGACTATGTATAGGCAAATATGGGCGTTACGAGTCGATTGTGATTTATAAAGGGAAACAGGCGTAGGGAGTGCCGTACGCACTTCCCTCGCCGGTACGCAATGTTTTGTGAATCGGAAAATGGCGGAAAATGTATGTACCTATTTTTGTGCTTTGTACTACGTAAGCAACCTTCCTACGTCAATCCTACGCAAGGCGTTATAAATGAGGCCCCTGGACTTAAGTACAAATACGTTTTGGTTTGAGTTTAAAGTACTTAAAAAGCTCCTTTTTGGTTTTTAAGGAGTTCCTGGTATCACATTTTATCATTAAAAGCAAAATGACATTGTCACAACTGACCTTTTGAACGTTGTATAACTGAGATAGATGTACCCGGGTTAAATAAAAGGCAAACATATCCTTTTAAATGATAATAATCATTTTTCTGAAGTAAAATATTTACATTTTCTTCATTTTAATTTAAATGACCGACTCAAAATGTGTGGAAGAATATATACAGCATTAATTTAGCTTACCTTCCGTGGTAAAATGAAGGGAACAAATAAAAATAGGTAATAGTTTGATGGATATCTTTTGCAAAAAATTAAATAATTTCTATATTTTGTATTTACTTACTTATTTATGCATTTATCTATTATTTTTCTTAATTTTGTTCAAAGTTAGGGCTCTAATCCATGCCTAAACTTAAATTGAAACACCGTATCTCGACAGGGGAATCCAATGTTCTGGAGAGTGGATTTGATATACTTTGATATACTTTTACATCATGATTCAACATGAGAGTGTTTCTGTGAGCTGACTGAAGTGTCTTTCCATCAGGAGTGCGGTCTCCTGCTGTCCTCTGAGGGCGAGGGGCGGGGCTGTTACCCTCTGGACGGCCACATCCTGTGTAAGAGCTGCAGCGCCTGCCGCATCCAGGACCTCTCGGCCAAAATCTCCACCGACTGCTAACAGACCTGCTCCCACCTTTTCAGCACACGTTACACATTGATGGCGCAGACAGGAAACACCCCTGCTGTGCTCAGACTCTTGAGGTTATTTTTTACCCTTTTTCTCTGACCGTGAGCTGACTTACAGCTCCCTCTGTTGGTATCCAGCTGTAATTTCATTTGCAGAAGAACATTTCCTGACATGGAGTTACCACCTTCCATTCATTCTGATGTCCTACACAGCTTTCCTTCTTTTTTTCGGTACACGTCTGCTCCATTTTTCACGTTTAGTTCAGTATAAGTTTGACAGTGGCCTGACCTGCAGGCAGCTTGGGCTCCACTTACCATTTGTTCGGTACTGCTCAGCTATTAACTTGCACATTATAATAACTGTCAAAGACAATGAAAGTAAGGAAGGATATCACACATTTAGACGGGAAATGAAGCAAAGGATACATGCTAATTAGACTACAACAATAGGACGTTTAAAAGCACATTGCAACAACTGTGAGTGTACATAAAGGGCTGGTTTGGTTACAGACTGTTTGTGAAAAGCGTGTAGCTTTTAGTGCAGTGGATGTTTGCAGAGACGTAGCCTCATAGCAGGAGAAATGTGGACGAGAGGAATGTGTAGTCAACCTTTTATTCTTTAGCTTATTATAGTAAAATATCCGCTAGAACAAATCCCTCATTAATCTCACGCTTATTACAGGATCTTTGCCATTTTTGACAAGCATTTTTGATTGTCTCCAAATCACAAGCATGCTTTTTTTTTTTTTGTTGGTTGATACTTGACCTTTACATTGAAGATGATGGTGCAATGAAGTCTTAGGAAAACAGGGTGTTGGTTACTCATGAGGTATGAAAGCGACCTATTGTGTGAAGAGAGAGAAAAACTCATTGTTCTCAATTGGGTAGATTTACAGGACACATTTGTATACATAATGGTTGTTCTTAACTTTCGACAACATAAAAGTGGATATGATGCATTTCCCCCCCTAAACATTGATTGTGATTTTGAACATCCTTGCACTCATGTGGGTCGAGACTTTTTAGAGCCACAGATTAGTTACGATTGTGTTTAACCTCTGTGTTTCCGTCCTCATTTTGTACTTGTGTAACTTAAAGGGCTTAGAAATGTAAAAGCCTTAACTCAAGGATGTCATTTAGTTTCATTATAATCCCTTTTTTGAAACCCTTTGTGAATTCCACAATTTTTTTTTTTTTATCATGCTAAAGCGGTTCAGTCTCTTGTTAATTTATCTCATGATGTGTATATACTGTAGTGTATTAGTCTGATTTTTATCATTAATGTCATTTCATTTATACCCAAAAGTGTCATTTCAAAAAATCTGACCCATGCCAACTCTTGTGTCAAACACCTTTTCGTTTTGTTTTCATTCTTACTCTGTTTGAAAAGCTGTGAATTGGAGCTTGTAAATCAAAGCCGCGGTACTGCAGCAGACCTCTGCTGAATTCACTCTGAGAAGAAGGAGGCCATGTTGTACACAACAGGCTGTTGATGTAGAAATGGAAGTTTGTTACGCTAATGGATTTTCTCCTAATACAGGTAGTAGTTACATAATTGATTATTAAAATGTCAGCAAGTTAAAAGTGTGTTTGTCACTTTTTATTTAAACTCAAAGTGTTCAAAATCATAACGGTGTTGAATGTCCTAATCTTAGTGCATATACAAAACGAAGTTGCTTAGGTTTAAAGTACACGATAACATTTATGTATCCTTAATAGATAGGAAATTCATTTTCTTAATTTGTCCAATACTGAGAATTTATTAATACTATGGTATTTTATAACTCCTGGGTACATTTTTACCTGGTTCAATTTAGAAAAACACCTCAGTTAAAACAGGGCTTGGGGAGTTTGAAAGACCAGAGGGAAGAGCAGACCAAAATTGCAATTAAGTTGCATTATGGGAATTTTAATGATCAAGTGTTTTAGGAGGATAGACCCATACTGAAGTATAAAAGTCATGATATATCAGATCCTGCAGCTTCAATTCTACTGTGTTTTGTTCAAATGTCTCTCCTGTAGGTCTCCAAACCTAATGAAAGTGCAATACAACGTTACTCAGGTACCCCTTTAAGACACAAACAAAGGTAAAATCAGCATATCAGTTGACAAATTTTCCCTTTTAAATCAGAACATTTTATTTGAGACTCTTTGTACATCTCTGGAAATCGACATACAATCTATTACTGGTATTACAATAACCAAAACAGATTTAATTTATCATTAAAAAGCATATTTACAAAAACAAAGTTACTCCAACTTGAACTGCTCTAACACGAGGTGAATGTCTTCCAGAAGAAGTTGCGGCAGCCTACTTTGCGCTCTCTGTGGCTGAGGGGGAGATGTCTCCTCATCACCTCCTCCCGGACCCCCCCCTCCTCCTCCTGCAGCTCGGGGAGCATCTCGTCTCCTCTCGCCGCCAGCAGCTCGGACACGAACTTCAGCAAGAGCAAGTGAGTCAGATCCTGCAGGAGGACACAAAACACGCACTTGTATAGTTACATCATTCATTATTCAAATGTCAGCAAGTTAAAGGTGTCACTTTTTATTCAAACACTGTCCGATAAAAGGGCCATTCACCAATTTGATATTTTTATTCACTATGTCAAATAACAACGAAAGGGTATTGTTAATCTTTATTTGATTGTATTTACTTCTAATTCATGTGCGATGTCTTGACGAAAACATTTCCCAAATTGGGATCAACAAAATATATCATATCTTAATATTTTTAACAAACTGCTATTCTTGCTGATCCTGCTTATTGATTTTTATTTTTTTTGTGAGTAAAAGCAAAACAATTTAACAAGAACATTTACAATTGTTTATTTGCATTTGCATTGTAAGTTTAAAAGAAAGATTGAGTAACAACTTTAAGCATTGTTTTCAAACCAACTATTACTATTGTAGGCTATTTTGTTCTGATTATGGTAATTTAATGTATAAAGGCACTTGAATATGTATATGAGTTGATCCCTTTAATAACTGTTAAATATCCAACTCACGATTTTAACATGACACCAAAAAATTATTCAATTCCAAAAATACTAAAATTAGATAATACCTATTAATTGAACATAATAAGAAAAAAGGATATACGAAAAAAAAAAAGGCATTAATATATGAAAGAACAACAGAGTTGATTAAAATGGTTGTCGATAAGTTATATTTCATCCCCACTCATGCTTCCAATATAGTGAAATATCCAACCCCTGATCCCAAATCCCAGCCCTTTAAGTGTATATTAATTGTGAGTCACCCACCTTGTCCGTTGCGAGCTCTGCTCTTAGTGCCAGCATGTCTCTGCGTGGAGCAGCTCCGACCTGCACCAGGAGCCCGGAGGAAAACAAGGCCACAAGAAGTATCTGCACCTGAGAGCCAAGCATCTCCATCTCAAACAGCAACACTCCAATAACCCCTGATTCTCTTTTCAACACTGGTGATGTGCAAAAGTCCCAAATATAAGCAATCAGGAAAACAGGGTGGGATGTTGGAAGAGCTGAATGTTATCACTGTTTGAGTAGGATGTGTTGGGCTGATAAATAGGCTTCTTCATCTTCAAATCTTCCTCATCCTCCAGGAAACAAAAGGATGTGATTGGTGGAGAAGGAGGAGGTGGAGGTTGTGTGTCACCGGATGGGAGAAGGTCATCACTCGCCACGACGAACGCTCCTGTAACACCTCCAACAAAAGCTCCAAAACTTTTTATTAGTAATTTACTAACTTTGTGAAATGTGAAATATCAATTTTAATGGTAACATATGACTTTACTTCTGTCAGTCATGATTATTAGTAAGTGTCCTGGTGTCATCGTGAGGGCTGCATGCTGTGCACTGTTGTTAATGACACAATGTGACTCAAATGTTAATGAGGCGGATAAGCAGTCCACCCTTTGTGCCGTCACTTTGGCAAATAAACATGGTAATCATCTAAATGTCAGACTGCAAAACAAAAGGGTTGATGTAAGTGTTTGGTCAAGACACGAAAAAGTATAACTATGTGGGTTATTGCACATTTAAAAGAGGACATCACATAATCGGTATGTTACTTCTATTAATACTAAGGCATACATGGAAAAACACCACTGTTTTAAATTGTAAAAAAGCATATTTTATGTTATTTTATCTTTGCACTACACGTTCTTACTTTAACTTCTTCTGTTTGTACAGTATTCTGCTTCTTCTTATACAGATATATGGATATTTAAAGTCCTTTTTGCTGCTGTTAATCGTTTTTATAGTCATTATTCTGCATGTTGTATTTTTCTTTTCTGCTAACGAGCTATGTCGATAAGACTGATATACAGTACACTGCATCAGCTGCACTTTATTTAAAACGTGACAATTAAGTAATAAAATAAAAATAAATACAAACGTGCCATTAACCAAGTCAACCCAAAGCACTAACTACTGTTTGAACAGCATATAATGAGTAATAAGTATCATTTTCACGTCTCGTTCCTTAAATAGGCTTTGACCTTTTCTCCACCGCAGGACTCTCACTGATAAGTCTGATTACTCCGTCTTTAATCGTGACATTACTTGACTTTAAGTAACATTTTCCCGGTAGTGGGGATGTGATGACTGCAGGCGTCCAGCTGTGCTGCTCCGGACAAAGTAGATGTGTCCAACAGTGTGATGATCACATGAATCACACGTCCTCCTTCTCTACACCTGCTGCTACATGATCAAAAATAGTGTCTTTCTTCCAGCAATTTGTCAGGGTTAATTGTCTTCACCTATGGATAACAAGCAGTATAATTCCCCATGTTGTTTCCTCATAACCCTATAGGATTCTTCATTATTTCATCTTTATAACAAGCTGGTGAGTCACACATTTCAACAAGAACTATTCCCATCGGAAGAGAGCAATTCAATCTTTACAATTCACGTTATAGTTTCATGTACAAGTTCAAATTGAGTGCCTGATAAATCAGAGGACAAGAGGAGACTATTTTTTAGCCTTTTACTCTTCTTAGTTTGTCTTGTGTTTTGCAAAGTTCAAATGATTACTAATACAAATAACAATTGATGCATTTTATTCAAACCTTTTGGCTTAACATAACTGATAAAGTGAGCAACTAGTGAGTTATATGTTTGTGAAGAAAGCTGCTAACATGTTTATAATTTCAAGCTGCCAAGATGTTTGTGAAATGTAAGAACATAGCCTACATTTATTTGGTATGATGGATCAAATGAGGATTATTAGAATTGCACACCCATTTAGAAGACAATATTTTTTGCATGGGAATACATGAGTTTGTATGAATGATTTTGGAAGGGAGAAATATGTTGATTATCAGTGAAGAAGCAACCATCACTGATGCTGGAGAGTTTGGTATTTTTTATGTGCACTGTTGACATCAAAAGAGGGATTAGCAAGCACTAATGTAGTTCAAGAAATGTTGAACAAATATCCTTTAATTGAGTAAACATTGCAATACAGTGTAGAAACACATGTAGTTGAGAAACAAAATGAAGATACTCATTTACAGTTAAAGCAGCCTATCTTAAATGTGTGAATAAAAAGCATGTATTTGCTGTATTTGAACCAAACTCCAAACGAACCAAAACATACAAATGAGCTTTTAAAATAAAATCATTATAATTATTTAGAAAACGGTAACATTTAGGGACTTTACTTTATAGATTAGCCCAGCATAATCTAAAATAAGCATTATTTTATGTAACTGTGGACTGTTTGTTCAGTGTATTACTGACGCTCTCTGTCCACTGGGTATCGCTGTTAGACCTAATTTTAACTCAAAGCCTTCCTTCATTGAACACTTTACATACATGTCTTAAGAAGTATCCGTGGGAGTTTTTGCTCTTTAGATTTGCAGTTAATTAAGAGCTGTGTTCATGAAGATGAAGGCCGTGAAACCCGGAGGTGTGTGTGTGTGTGCTAGTTAGCTCCTTAATTAGCTAGAGTCAGTCAAAATGGCGACATCTTCGAGATCTAAACACAGCTGACAGCTTGCAAATCGAGACATATAGCTTTGAATGAACTCAGTTTACATTTGCTTATTAAAAATGAAAGTATCTCTCCATATTTTGTGTGGGTAAGTTAACAAGTTGAAGATACACGCATGGTTTAAGTGTAAACCCGTAGCCTATGCTAAAACGAATATGTATTTGTTTCAGTGTGGTGTTGCTGTTCACCTCATCTTTCTGTGTCACCAGTCCAGTGCCGACAGGTAAGACCATTTTAGTAACAATGTGTGGTACCATAAATCTAAAATACCTATGTCAAAGACATAGTAAATATAAATAACATAATTTGTATCACTCTCAGAGAGCTCCTGTCTAAAATGATACTGGATAATGAGGTTTACAATACAGTGTGCTTTTATTTTATTGCCTTCATTAAGATTACATTGTCTAATAAGAGCAAAAATGGCAATTTGGCAATTTCACACATAATGCCACATATAAGTAGTCAAAGGTATGTTCAAACAATGCATTGTCTACCACGCGTATACATTTCATAAGAAAAGTGTTTTCACGCTATGTAAAACTAAATAATATGAATTCATTTTAATATATTTGTATTTAAAGGTCCTCAAAAAGTCTTTATACAATAATGTGACTTTTTTGCCCCTATTGCATGCATGTTTTGTCTACTAATGAATGCTTAGAGTTAGACTATGCAGAATCATACAAATACCACTTGAATGAATATTCATATTAAATTAAACCCTTACATTTTTATTTTTGTTTGGAATTACTTGGGAACTGATGCCAGTTTTAATGTTTTCAGGAACATTTAAGACCAATTGTCTTGAACGTCACTTTTGGCTTTCTGTCAAGTCCAGCTTCCTTGGCTCGAGGGTCCACGTTGACTTTGAAGGTAAGCTTCTTTATTCTCCTCAAGAATGTTTTTCCTAAATTGATGGTCAAAAGTTTAATTTAGATAACAACAAAGTATATGTTGATGACCTTTAACTCTGAACCACCAGACCGGTATGGATTCCACTCTTTGTCTGACCATGAGGCCACACTGTGTGGTTACACTGTCCTGGTCAATGATGTTGGAGACTTGGTGTTTCGTGCCTCCTTCCTGGCCTGTCATGTCCACAGCGAGGTAGGTTTTTTTAACTTTGTTAAGCTTTAATATATCGCAGGGTTGCATTCCTCACATCACTGTATCTTTCTGCAGGGAGGCACAGACTATCACCTGCGTCTTTGGTTTGTGAACCTGCAGGAGGATGGGAAGGTTGCAGCGTATCCCTTCCAGCTCCACTGCTCTCTTCGGGGGCAGTGGAGCACCAGAGAGATCGTCTGTGAGGAGAACTACATGGAGGTGAATTAATAACCGGTCGATTTATGTAATCACATCCACAGATTTAGGTTCTGAATGTAAGCCTTTTAAAAACACGTGCTAGGGCTTATAGAAGATTTTTGTGACCATATATCAACTCTCCTCTTTTCCTATCTAGGTGTCCATCCAGCAGCCTTTCCTGCCTATTACATCAAAAAATGAGAAGGTAATTAAATATGGTAAATCCTTGCACTCACAAGTTGATCAACCATGTAGCCGAAAAGTATGACGCGCTTTTCATGAACGGCAGCCCCCTCCTTTGCATATAGAACTGTACGATGAAAACAACATGTAAAAGTTTGGGTGAATAAAATATGAGGTTAAATTCTATGTAAATTAATAAAATAATTAATTCTATATAAGTCCTTCATAAGTAAATAGCAGAGACGTGTTTTTTTTTCATGATTCTGTATTTGTTGTAACAATCATTGACTAGAAATCCTACGATATAGAGCACCAAAAAGTTTCTTCATATTTGCAGGAAGAATATGTTTTAAATTATATATTTCAATTTTGCTTCACAAATGACTTCATTAAGCCTCTCTTTGTCTCTGAGCAGGGAGTTGATGAGGCAGACATGGCTGTGATGTTCCACTATGATTCCCAGCCACCAGAGGAAGCGAGGTTCTTCTCCCTGAAAGAGGCTGCTGCTCTGGGCTACCACATCTCACTGCGAGGCACCCACCTCACCCTCCGCTGTCCCTACTCCTCCCCGCTCTCATACTTAGTCAAGGTACCCATTCTTCGATATTGTTTTACTCGAGATTAGGCATGCTTCGTTTTTATTTATCTGGTTGCTTTGTGTGGGTGTTTTTTCCCAGGAGAGAGGAGTGGATTTAGTGATTGTCAGAGCGACTATCCTGTACCGACTCCAGAGAAGCTTCCTGGCTGTTAACACCACTGTCGCCTGTGCTCTGAGTGAGTACGCTTGATCATTATTACATTATTGTGCAAATACCAGAGTAAAATGTCTCCTTTGTCTCCTTTCTCACACCCAGACGAGGCTTCAGCAGATGGCTCTGATCTGCTGTGGACTGTTCCTTACATCCTGACACCGTTAGTCCGTGGTGAGTTCAGGTACAGAGGCATGAAGATCGGAGTGAACGGCCAGGATCTGAGTGAGTCTGGATATAAAGAGAGGGGATACAAAATCAGCCTGCAGGAGGGAAAAGTGGAGGTCAGGATTCCTCTAGGAGCCCCAGGTGGACACATAAAGGTATGCAATCAAATGTGTTGAACAGAGAATTGTGTAACATTTCTCCAATTCTTTGCTCAAGAGAACTGTTTGCACATTTTTCTCAATTGTTTTTCTTGCTGTGAATCTCCCAGAGTGGTGTTGTGAGAGGACAGTACAGCCAGTCCATGTCTGTGGATTTGTCCTTCATGAGTCAGTGGGAGGACGAGCGCTGGCCTCTAACACAGCATCGCTCCTTCAGGCTCCTTAAGACTCCTCTCATCCCTCAAATCGCAGTCGTCACCAACAGTAAGGCCTACTTTAACCATGCTAACTTGTTTGAACTTGTTTTGTTATGTTATTTAATAGTAGAAGATATATATTGATTTGACAAAAGCAGTTATGGTTGCATTGCAAAGCTCCCCTTTACCCTTCTCTTATTGTAGCATAACGATGTGAACATTGCGTCATTAAAAACTACACAAAAATAGTTTTTTATTCTGGATTTCGAATGATAGTAAGAGAAATAATAACACATTCTTGGCCTTGGACATCATTGTAATTTTAAAACGTTTTTATTTTGCATGCAGTTGGCATATTGTGATGTAAATCAATGGCAGACAAACGTTATTTTTGGTATCTTAAACGGAAATAATAATTAAAGTTATATTATTATATTAAAGTTTGTTACGTTTTTTGGGGTGGTCTATTTATGATTTAAAAAAGTATTTTAAATATTCCACTCTCTCTGTACAGACTCTGTCCCATCCTTAGGATTGCTCTCCGTCACTTTAGGCCTCTTTGCCCCTGATGTTTCCCTCCAGAAGGTGACATTAGATGGTGGAGGCGAGCTTCTAACCTCGACCCAAACTGAAACAGACGACCTCAGTGTGTCCAGGCTCTCCCACTCAAACGGGAGCCACTCCTACCAGCTTCGTTTCCCATTGTCACACCCGAGAATAATCCCAGAGGTGAGATTTACCAACACTGAGCCAGTTTTACTATGTGTAGAAACTGAAAAATATGATCCTGCTGTGTAATCCCAGTACATAGGTGGTGGCTACAAGACATACAGCCTCTCTTTCACCTTTACCTTTGACATCTTACCCAATGGAGAGCAGTTTTACCGTCGAGCCACTATAGAGCATAGTGTTGAATACACAGGTGGGTTATTGATACATCACCATTGCTCCCGACCAGTTTTAAATCAATATGCTGATGATACCCTATCTATCAGCTCCAACTTCCCCCAAGCTGGAGGGAAAGTGCACAGAGAGAGGCCTGCTGGTGCTGCTGCACCACGGGGCCCAGGCGGACCTGCAGTGGGAGCTCTTCCTCGGAGCTCACAAACTGGACTGGGACCTGGTGGAGATGGGTGGGTTTGTGATGGAGGCGGATGAGGACTACTTTACTGTTGAGATCCCCCGCTACAGCCCAGGGATGAACTACGTGGTGATCAATCAAAGTTTATATTGACCTGATGTGTTTTTTTAACAATTACTTTAGGTTTTGGATATGCAGTTGGTGGTTAGCATGCCTCCAGTTTTGAGAAACATCAGGAGCAAAGAGGCAACACAATGTACTGCTTGTATTTAAGCCACCAAAAAGAATGGCCCAATTGAAAAGATCTAAATCAGACAAAAAGTGTATTTTTTTTTGTTTGTTTGCGTTTACAGTGTATTTTACTTTAAAAGATTCCTTCTTTGGTTTGCTTCTTTTTTCCCCATGCAGGAGCTGACATTGCAGGGTCTTGTCTCTGAAGTGGAAGTGTCTGTTGTGGACGCTGACTCTCTGAAAGCAGAGGACACTCTTGTCCTTAAATGTACATTTCCTGTTCAGGAACTACTAGGTAAACCTCACAAGCTCAAACTGAAGCATGTCCAGATTTTCCTTTAGTTTCTATTAATCTCCTCACTCAAGACTGTTTATCTGGCAGTATGTCTGCCAGAAGGGAGGATGGTAGCAGTCGTCGACACCACCCACACTATCCCGCCCACTCACCCCAACCGGACCACCCTATTGGACCCCAGCTGTATTCCCATGGAGACGGACAGCGCCAGAGCCTTGTTCAGCTTCAGCCTGGACTCCTGTGGGACGACTGTCACTGTGGGAGAATTTAATTGATACAAATTCACACTCAAAATATGTTTTCTGGCATGTTTCTGATCTTATCCGATTTTCCTCAGACTGAGGGAAATGTCCTTGTTTATGAAAATCAGATCAGTTACACTCAAGAGTTTCTGCCTCCGGATGATCCTCTCATACACAGAGATTCTCCATACAGGTGGGAAACATACAAACTCAATCAAGCAGTGTTTAAACCGGGTAATAATGTTTATACTTTGTCTGTTTTAGGTTGACAATTCAGTGTCGCTACCCAGCAAACCATACTATAACGCTACCCAGCAAACCATACTACATACTACTACATGCTATCCAACAGCCTTTAAATAACTCTCTGGACCTTTCACCTGTGCACATCAGGGAAGCTGCAAACACAGGTGTGTGTGTGTGTGACTTCAGATTGTATTTTGGATAAAAAAATGACAAGTCGATCTGTGACTCAAAATTCATATTAATAATGTAAATGTGTGATTTATATATTCACTCCAATCAGGCTGAAGAAAATGGAGTTTGGAGGGACTGCAAGACCGTCTTGGTGGTGAAACTTTATTTATACTGTGTCTATATTACTGTTGAAACTGTGCTAAATACTCAACACACCCATAACTCAACATACTTTGAATTCAAACTGAAATAGGGAGATTAATTAAGTGGAATGATATAATTTACTGTCATTTAAAATTGTGTAATTCTCCCCTTTTCCTGACTTTCAGTGTGGATCACATGGACGCGTGTCTCCATTCTGCTGATACTCTGCAAATGGGTTGCTGCATTTTTGTCCTGTAAATCAAATAAATAAATGTATGTTGCATTTTATTTATTACTTCTTTCTTGTTTATCCTGACAAGATATTAAAAAAATAAATGAAAGGTTATTGTTTTATTTTGTAAAAGATTTCAGTATCAACTATTTGGTGCTTTTAAAAAAAAAAAACGTTTACCTAAATACCAGGTCATATCATCATGTGTCTATGTGGTTGAAACAAATGTAGACTCAACATGAGTTTATCTTTGGCATGACATTTTCCTGTCATAGCAGGTTGAAATATTCACCTAATTTCTGCAGACAATTTCGGCTTGCATTTTAAGAGCATTGGTAATAAAACTACTTCAGCCTCATCTCAATACCCCTCCTCGACTCCTCATTTCCCTCACTCGCGTCCCTTCCTTGCGTCTTAGCTCCGCCTCCGTAAGATGCGAGCGAGAGACACGAGGAGGGTGACGCGAGGACAGAGGAGTCCTCAGGTATTAATTGGGACGTCCTCGTTCACTCAAACGACGTCTGTTAATGATGACATGTGCACAGCTGTATCCCCTCTCATCGGGCTTAACTGAATAACCCTTTAGAACCGGCCCATTTGTTGTTAAATATTTATTGAAATGAATGTATCTTTCTCTTGTTAGTCAAGGAATTCAATGTATGATGGTTGGTCCTGCTTTTGTGTTCCGTTTTGGTGTAAAATGTAGCCTACATTTAAATACAAATATAATGATAGTAATGTGAAAGCCTTTACTCTGAAAATGTGTGTCCTGTAGATCCCCACATTTACCACAAACCCACATTCAGGACTGTGAATTTTAAATAATTTAACTCCTGAATATCTTAACAAAAACAATACAAATAATTGTTATTTATCAAGATCTAGCCATTTATGAAATAGCTTTCTTAATAGCTATGTTTTAGTGACGTTCAAGATCATTAAACATGACTTAAATTGTTAGTATAACCTTAAGAAATGAATTGCACATAATAATTCCCACGGAGCTGTGAGCACTGTGACGCTTTCCCACTCATTCTTCCAGTTCTCCGTTTTCCTCTCTTGAAATCGACCAGCTGTGAAGGTGGGGGCGGGGCTTTTATATGCGAGTAGTGAAAACACTTCCGCGTAGTCTGCTCTCGTGTATCCTCCCTTTCGTCTCCTCCCTCACCCCTCCTCGACTCCTCCGTGTGCATTTCAGCTATTGGGACGTCCTTCAAAATGGCGTGTCTTGATCGATTTCCGGGTCAAGTCCCGGAGGAGGGGTATTGAGATGAGGCTTTCATTCACATGCTTACTCACTTCGGCCCAATCCCAAACCACGCCCTACACCCTACCCCTACCCCTCCGTTTGCGCGTTCGCGCGGAGGGTCCGCCACATTAAGTGCTGTTCCAAACCAACGAGTGTGGAGGGGGAGTGGGCTATCAAGCCCTCAAACAGCGAGTCTGCATTGGTGCTGACTTGAGACTGGTCTCTACCTGACCGGAGTCACGCTGTGTGTGTCCGTCAGGAAACACGCTGTTTACAAGTAGTTCCAGCAAACATCCACTGATAAATTGCGATGTTAACAACCTCATGATAACCTCATATTTTTTTAACTTAGGATCATACCTGTGTTTAGTCTAGAAAAAGGTAAATGTGTGCATTTTATTATAAAGTTGTGTATATTTACAGACTGTTGCAAAAACTAAGAAGCTTATAAACATCAGGTTTAAAACTAAAAGAGCTTTACAAAAAAGTAACACAATGAAAGATGTTTGGAGTTTTATTTGAGTTCTTAATTTACATTTTTTTGTCTAAGAGATGCTGATTTGAAACCGTTGTTACATACAGTTACGGCATTTCCTGTTTCTGCCGGAGAGAGGGGAGTTTGTCCCAAAGCTTGCCGCTGTATTTACTCCCTCCATCTGACAGGAGGGAGCCTCGTTGAGCTGCGAGTGTGGCTACAGACGGAGTTCACTCCGCCACGGAGGGGTAGGGTCGAGGGAGTGGTTTGGGATTGGGCCTTCATCTCATTGAAAGGAGCCATTAGTGTCACCTGTGCTTGAGCGCTAGCTTGATTGCTAATGAGCAGCACCTGTGGCTGTAACACCTGACTGCCTCTGATTGGTTGGTGAATAAACAGGCCTATAAAAGCTGGTCTAGCAGACAGCATGTCATATTGCTAGTTTGGTCAGGATATACACCAAGCAAGTGTTACCTTTGAGCTTGTGTTGAAGCAGGTGTAGTTTGCTAGCATCTAAGCTAGCTTTAGACACTGCCAACACATCAGTTTCTATGGCTGTTGACTTTTGCCTTGGGTAAGTTGGTTTTCTGAACATTTTCAAGCTGTTTGTGGACAATAGTTCACCTTTTATTTGTGGATATTCTATGCCTTTGTGTTGCAGGCTGACCTTGCTCCTCTCTATGTGGGCAACTGCAAAATGTGATGATCCCAATGGTAAGAGATTAAATGTTTGCTTGTAGTCACACTAAACTGTGGACTAGTTTGACAGCTTTTAATTGTTTCTGCAGAAGCTATAAATATGGAGTGTCATGATCGCTTCTTCGTGATAGTTGTTGATCTCGCCTTCACTGGGAATAAACCCCACTTTGAGGCAGTTGGTAAGTCCCGCACAGCTTTGTCACAAATTGCTACCCCTTAAAATGTACCATCTGATCAAAAGACAACTAGTGTGGCCTGAAAATGACAATTTGACTAATGCAGCCACTTGTAGGGTTGACTAACTAATGTGATTGTCGTTCCAGATGAGAGGGGTGTGTACGCCATCACTAGGCACAGTGCAGCACAGTGTGGCTACAGTATCGGTGTTCTCCCTCTGCTTGGACATGTGGAGCTCCGAGCCTCTTACTTTAGCTGTCACACTGAAAACAAGGTTGGTACACTTGGCATTTTAACAGTATTTGTTCGTGTTGTGTGGCAACCCCTTCATTCTGCTCTATATTTCAGGATGACGAAGTCTTCACGTTCAACTTCAACCTGGTTGTTGCAAATGAAGGAAAGCTTGTCAGCTATGCCTTGACCAAGACCTGTTCTCCATCTCTCCCCTGGTCTCCCAGAGAGGTTACCTGTGAGGTCAACTACATGGAGGTAAGCATGGTTACATTGTCTGGTATTTTGGGAATTGTTTTAAATCTGAACTAATCTTTGTTTCTCTGTAGGTGTCTGTGAATAGTGAGGTCACCTGTCCATCTGAGACAAAGAAAGAAGACTGGAATGCTGCTCTAAAATCAGTACGTTTCAACTTTCACAGTTTTATATTGCTATAGCTTCAATGAGCACAACCATGACATATTTCTCTTCTAGGCTTATACCTCAGCAACTTCAGACTGGCAGGTTATGTTGCACGGCGGTGAGGAGCAGGGGATGCCAATGAACCTTTCTGAAGCTCATGAGCGGGGCTATTTGTTTGACTTGACGGACAGCAGGCTGGTTTTACGTTCCTCGTATGGACAACCTGAATCATTCAGCACTGAGGTAAATGTACAAGATATTGTCAATGACTTGTGTGTAGTTGCATAGTTCAATACCTGTCTTGTGACTTGACTTTGCGTTTCTGTCTCCAGGTGAATGGTGTTCCAGTAGAGGCGGTCCATGCCACTCTGTTCTCCAGACAGCGCTGGCTTGTCCTCATGGTGGACCTGGTGGCTGCTTGCTCAATGCGTCAGTATTACAATATTTAAGGGCGAGGTTTATATATATTTTTTTCCTGTTGACGGTACAACAACCAAAGCTTTAATTCTGTAATGTCCACAGATGAAGGATCATATAATGACAGCGGCTACATGATGTGGGACACTCCTGAGGTGCTGCATCCGCTGATGACTAGTCAACATGAGTCGCAGGTCAAAATTGGAGTAAACGGTGAACTTGTGGAGGAGCCAGTTGCAGAAGAGAGGGGCTACATTGTGGAGAAGCAAAATGCCATTATCCAGATCGGCATCCCCTATAATGCTGAAGGAGCAATCAGGAAGGTCAGGACGCACTGATGTAATAAGATGTGTAGGGACTTGTGGTCCAGAAGCACACTTGGCTGAATGCGCTTTTGTATTTGCAGAGCTTGGTGTCTGGCGACCTCTTCGAATTCTATATCTTTGATCTGTACTTGGAGCAAATGTTGTTCGGTGACGACCAGATGGACACCAGACTTCGTGCTCACAGGACACTGGCTACGCCCCTGCTGCCACACTCTCTCTTCAGTGAAAACAGTAAGTCTATTGACAAACTCATCGTCCATTTGATGCAACAATAATCTGATTACATTTTAATTTCAGGAACAGTTCCTGAGGAGCGCGTGTTCACGGTGTACCTCGGAGACGTGCCTGAAGACGTGGAGTTGGCGGCTGTTCATTTGAATGGACAAAAATGTAAAGCTCCGTTTACGAATGAAAGTAGCCTCACCATCACGAAAGTTATTAATCCCAACAACAATCATGGCTACACTCTGAAGGTGTCGATGTTTGACCCCGTTATCAGGCAGAAGGTAAAGGTCCTAAAATACTTTGTCCATATTCATGGAAACTTCACCCTGCTTTGGTAAAACTTGTATGTTCTTTTTCCTAGTTCTCCAAAGAAGATGCAGCCATGCAGCACACTCTAGAAATCAACTACACCTTGACAGTTATGCCTGAAAATGAGCCTTTTTACCACCTGGCATCAGTCATGGCCTTTACTGACGTCTGTAAGTTGCAAACCATATTTTTTGCCTTGGTTAAACTTACTTGTGCATATAGCAACCATTGTCTTCTATACTTGTCCTGTGTTCAACAGCGCCACCAGTCTTTGATGCTGTCTGTACGGAGTCTGGCATCAGCTTCAAGCTGGACCACCGGCCTTTTGACTACCTGTGGGAGATCACTATCGACTCAGACCTGCTGACATCAGAGCTGGCAGACCAGCACGGCTACATCATGAGCAACGATAGCAACAGGCTGCTGCTTGAAGTGCCCCTTCTCAGTCAAGGCTACCAGTATGAGGTACGATGAGACGGATCGGCATCAAACACTCTTTAATGTGCTGTTTTTTTGTAAATCGAGTTTAATGACTAATCTGTTTTTCATAGGGCTTTAATTTGAAGGGATTCATTGGTACGTTCAAGATTCTCATTCGGGATCCTGAAACATCTGAAGTCCAAAGCTCAGCTATCAAGAGTTGTTCGTTCACGACTACAGAACTCATTAGTAAGAAGACTTTTTTTTTTCTCTTTGCCATTAGCTCCAGTGGGATGTTCATATATTTGAAATTTGCACTAATCCATACTTTCGTCAGTGTGTTCGACTGATGGGATGATGACTGTGGTGGCTGACTTGGCTCTGGCCATCCCAAATGGCGGCAATCCTGCTAGAACCAACCTGAGAGACAGATACTGTGGCCCCAAAGAGACAGACGGCAGCAGGGCTCTGTTCTCTTTCTCTCTCAACAGCTGTGGATCCATAGTCAAGGTACTGCTGCTTCCTAATGCTCCTGTTGTACTCATTCCAAAGAAATAACATTTAGATCCTGATCTAGTGCTGTGCCTTCACTCAATTCTTATGCTTTGTTTCTCCAGCTCGGCAAGGAGTATGTGACGTATGAAAATGAGATTTTCTACAGCAAGAAGCTACGTGCTCTGAACAATCCAGCAGATCCTAGCAATGATATTGACAGGTGTATATTTAACCCAAACTCTTGGCCATTTAGCCTTTTTTTTTTAATCAACTTATTAATCCAATGTTTGTCTTGCAGGGTGACGATACAGTGTTCATATCCTCTGTCTGGACTGTTCCGCCTCTTCTCAGTATACAAGTTTGAGTCTGATAAAGTCGGTTTTGGTCGCATTGTTCATTCTGCGCACTCTCCTGAAGGTAAGTGGTTGACCTGAATAAACAACATTATATTCGCAATGAAATTCTGACAATCTGTTTGGTCTTTAGGTCTACTGAGTCCCACCATGGAGCCCACTACAGTGTTTCAAACTCCAGTGTACACTACCAGACGCTCCAGAAGACCTGTGTCAATAAGACGTGGGTACCAGCCTCCTGCTATATACATCAAAGTATCCAGCTTTCTGAAGAACCTTCCCAAGAAAGGTAAGTTTATTTGAAATGGTTGTGAAAATTAAATTACTTTGTTAATCCTTAATGAATTCTCTTTTGCAGGAGCCAAAGGACAATTGCAAACTAAATTGAATCCATTTATTTCTTTGTAACTACATGTGTTTTTTAAATGTAAAGCTTAATAAATTTGTCTTTAAAATTCTTGACTTCTCATTGAGACTTATCAAACAAATGCAACATGAAAGTACCAATGTATGCAATGGTTGGGTAGCTCAAAGAGCCTTTCATAACAACCTAAAGGTGTTCCACCCTCCCTGTTTAAGAGCATGATTTCTGAGCTGCAAGGTTGAACCTGGTTTGAGATTAAAATGTATTAGAAGAGTGCGAGGGAAAGCTGACTTTTGTTTTTTTGTGGCAATTACAGTATTTAGACAATTCTGACTTAAAATCCATATTACATATCCATTACAAACATTCCCGCAGTGCAAAGAGACAATACAAAAACAAGGTGGAATCTGACTTCAAAGGCTGTAACACCCGGAACATGTGGGTGGGACTAAGAACAATGAGAGACTACAAAGGAGCAGCAGGGGGTGCTGCGGGAGTGTCTGCATGCACATCGCTCCCAGATGAGCTGAACAGTTTTTTTTTTTTTTTTTTTTTTTTTTTGTTTTTTTTTGCACGATTTGAGAGCAGCCAGGCTGGGGGTGCAGAGAAGGATCAGGAGCCCTGCCCTTTTGTTTTAAACAGGGCAGATGTGTGCAAATCCTTTAAAAGGGTTAACCCACACAAGGCTCCTGGTCGTGTTCTCAGGGTGTGTGCAGTTCAGCTGGCAAGTGTTCAGACATCTTAAACAGGTCCCTGCTGCCGTCTGTAGTCCCCACATGTTTTGAACACTCCACCATCGTTCCTGTCCCGAAAAAGACAAATCCCCAGCCTCAACGACTACCGCCCAGTAGCACTCTCCTCCATCATAATGAAGTGCTTTGAGCGGTTAGTCAAAACCTTCATCACCTCCTCCCTCCCTGACTCTCTGGACCCCCTGCAGTTTGCCTACAGATCAAACAGGTCCACAGATGACGTCATAGCACTCACCATCCACACTGCCCTCTCACACCTGGACCAGAGGAACAGGAACACATATGTGAGAATGCTGTTCATTGACTACAGTTCAGCCTTCCAAACCATTGTGCCCTCCAAGCTGGTCATCAAGCTCAGAGACCTCGGGCTCAACCGCGCCCTCTGACTGGATCTTGAACTTCTTGACTGGCAGACCCCAGGCAGTGCGGGTGGGAAACATCACATCCTCCACCCTGATCCTCAACACCAGAGCCCCTCAAGGCTGCGTGCTCAGCCCTCTCCTCTACTCCCTATTCACACACGACTGCGTGGCCACACACAGCTCCAACACCATCGTGAAGTTTGCCGACGACACAACCGTCATCGGCCAGGTCACCGACGGCGTACAGAGAGGAGGTTGAAAACCTGACATCTTGGTGCCAGGATAACAACCTCCATCTCAACGTCAGCATCCGGACTAAAACCACCGGACAGTTTCATCCCACAGGCAATACGACTGTTAAACAACATCCACAATATTCATCTGGCTGCTACTTAAACATTATCTATTTACCTAATATATCATATTTCAATGACTTGCATATAGACTATTATTGCACTTTCACTTTTTTAAACTTTTTCTTCTTGTATTTACTTGCACTATATTTTTCTGTTTATCTGTGTTTTGTGTTGCTCTGTTGGAGAAGCCTGGGACACAAGATTTATCGACATAACTACACTGTAGCTATGTTCAACGAATAAAGAACCTTGAAATAAGATATAAAAGCAAACTGCACGCAACAGCACATGCTTGGTTAGCGTGGCTGCATTATGTTTGTGACATGTTAACTTGGAAGTGTTAGAAGTATTCGTTGTTCTCGCGCCCAGGAGAGAAGCTTAGAATGAAGAAACTAATGGAGTCTCCGAAAAGGTTCAAATTGGTTGAGTTTAATTAAATGGCACGATGATACAACAAGCAGAGGGTAAGAGGAGACAGAGCAGCTGTTGCCTCGCCGGGGTGAAGGGGTGAAGTCTCCAGAGCTCCGTCACCTCTCTCTATATCTCATGGTGACTCCTCCTCCTCAATGGTGGGCGGTCACGTAGGGAGGGAACTTCCCTCCTCTTTCTCATTGTCTTAGTTTCTCTGATTAGGTCATCTCTCTGAGAGTGAATCTTAAATGTATGTGTGATCAACAGACGCGTTTAGGGGGTGAGGTTTTGCATACTGTGTCTGTGTATATCTCACTGTCTTGTAGGGTGAGATGGTTTTGCATACAGTGCCAGAGGGGGTACGAACATTGTGTTGCTGTACGTTTGTCACCTAACTGATTATTCTCTCTAGACCCCAGCTGATTTTAAAACTGCTACGACAAAGCTTACTGTGCGTTTAAACTAAATTACGTCATTGAATATTGATTTTAATTTCTAACAATCCCTCCTTTCACACCTTTTAAGGTGTGAACACAATACTGAAATCAATGAGTTCTTCATAAGACAGCTTTTAAACTGACGGTATGTTTTAGACTAAATTATGCTATAAAACATTGATTTTAATTTCTAACAATCCCTCCTTTCACACCTTTTGAGGTGTGAACACAATACTGAAATCAATGAGTTCTTCATCTGAACTTGGCATAGTACATAACTCATATCAATAACATACAATCAAAATGGAATGGTTCAAATAACAGTCATCACAAATACAAAAAATACAAAGAATACTTTGGTTGGTCTTCCACATGAAAGTCTTTTTTTCTTTTTTTTTTTTCTTTGTGCATAACTTCTAGTGTTAACATTCAATATCACTTTTCAAAATAGCAATTAGCTTGGTATCAGAACATTTCTTACTCCCTCCTTTCACAGAAATCCTTCTCATACTACATTCAGTGTTAAGGCACTTGTTTTTTCAAAGTATAAAAGAAACAAACTTTTTTAGAATAGTACAAAGTAAATAAAAATACACCATCTTGGAATAGTATAAGGTAATAAAGAATACACCATCTTGGAATAGTATAAGGTAATAAAGAATACACCATCTTGGAATAGTATAGTAAATTGCATTGGATTCCCTTCATATTAGCATTGTAGCTGGTTCTTCATTCAAATGATTTCATCATTTGAAATATCACATCATTTGGACATTCTTTGAACGATCTCATCAATGAACATTCCTATTATTTGTATATGGGTTGGGTCGTCTTGTTCTGCTAGCAATTGAAACTGTTCCCTTGTGAGAAATGTACCCTCCCTCCTTTCATACCTTTTAAAGTATGAAAGTAATATGTTCTCTAGAAAGGGCCGTGGTGATCAATCGGTACGTTAGGGTGCGGGTACATGGAATGCAACTACAACATCTAGCACTCCCCTGGGCACCCCTATGCTATCCTTGTACACTGTGGAGCCTAAACTCCCTCCTTTGACTGGTCTCTTAGCCCTACTGGTTTTGGGGTGTTTCGCCATGTTGATTAACTGCCCCGCTGTCATTGGTACTGCATATAAAACATCACTGGCTGTACAAGTGCACAGGTCCCAGTCCAATCCTGTAGCAAGACTGCGTACAAGGTTTTAGTTCCATGATACCATCAAACATCTCCTCTGGGATACGGCATTTCAGACAGTCATTTCTGGGAGAAGATTTTGGTCAGTTACAACAGTTGGAGAATTTCATCACTTAAAAAGTTCCTACTTCAGTACCTTTGGGTGGTCTGTTCTAATGCAGTGATAAAGTTCCTTAAATGGTGTGAAAACCGGTGGAATATCAATAACTCATTATACTAATTTATCTTCAATTCTGGTCTGCTTAAAGAACTATGCTAACCCCTTTAACAGTGTGTGGAACCCGGGGTGTCCGAACATGCAACAATTACTCCCTCCTTTATCAAGGATTTTATTTCATCAATGGTTTGTAGCTCAATTTAGGAATTTTCACTTATGGCGGATATGTTTCTACGTTAAATAACATCTCTAAATTTCAGGTCATCACTGATTAAATGGATGACCATTAGGAGGTGGTGACGCTTGTCTTTTAAACTCATAATTTGGTGCCGTGCGCTCCCTGTGAAGCTGCAAGTAAGATTTAAAACAACTGCTGGGTGGGTTGAGTGACCCCTTCTCCCTAAACGATATGGGTTGTCAATAATATGCACCATTGCAATGAGTGATCCAAGGCCCCGCATGTATTACTCCCAATGATATTGCTTTTTTCAAAATGTAATTTGCAATCGCTCTTTGCCCAGTGTCTTTTCCAACTCTCCATCTTGGAGACAAACAGTTCTCCTATGGTAATAACTATGCTACAATGGCGAAAACAATACTTTAGATTGGGATACTATATTTGGCTTGGTACTAAGTCCCCTTTTAACATTTTCCAACAAACACAGATTTGTCTGCTCTTATAGAGTGGTCACTAAAACTATCCCTTTAACTGTAGATCAATATTGTAACACATTAGATCTCTACCAAATTCACCCATGAATAAGAATCTCTTAGGGAATAATTCGTTTACATGATGAAAAGATTGAAGAATATGTTCTACTCTGTACTCCTAAGTCCCAAAACACTCACTGCTTAAAGTGTAAAGTGTAGTGAATATTTCCATCATGTCTGCCCCTTTATCTCACAGTACCCTCAGTGTGTTTTAGGATTATTTCCTCTTTATTACTATTTTAATTTACCAATTTATTAATTCACGGCTAATACATTTTTTTGTCTTTACGTATTTATCAAGTCAATTCAAGTTTGTTTGTGAATAAGTGTGTTTATGTATAGAAGAAGAAGCCCCCAGAACAACAGGGGAAACCCCAGGCCATTCGACCATGGAGCTGAAGCGGATCGAGCTTACAGGCAGGTCCACTGCAGAAATGGCCAGATAAATGGCCTGGATGAGTATCGTGGGGCATTTCAGGAGGAGAGGACGAAATTTTGCCACAGGGACTCAGGGTACCAACAAGAGAACAAAAGGCTGTTTGACACCATCATGGAGCATGAGGCAGAAATCTCCCGTCTGAATGGGAATATTGAAGATGCAGAACGCCAACACAAGAGGCAGCTGGACCAAATTGTGGCAAGGCATGAGGCAGAGAAAGGAAATGTCTCAGACGAGAAGGACCAGGCGACATCTGACAGCGAGAATAATGATGTTCCCC